GTGCTAAGTGTCCTATAGGGCCTAGTAGCTCAGCCTCCACAATTACCGGAGGTGGACATTCTTGGGGCACCCCTTTGTGGGCTTTGTGCACAGTCTTTTTGTAGTTAAGCCTTGATTGTTGTAGGTAACATTTGGGGGGATTTGACCTCTAGGCCAATTGGCTGTGAGAATCAGCTGTGTCTGCAGTGGGAGAACTTCTGTCTTGATCTCTAGGGAGGTGCTAATCTAGCCTCTGCCTGAGGCTATAAAGCAAAAGTCTCCCTGCAGGGCTTGGGCAGGGTGGGTCGCATGGGATCAACAGGGCGGGGCTAGCAGTTATGGCTGCTCTCGGTCCTGCCCTCAGAGGCTCCGCTTCTCAATGTCCTGGTAATCACTGCAGGCCCCTCCGAGAGAAAGCTGCCCTCGAGTTCCGACTGATGCCAGACAGTCCCGCTTCTCCCGTATGAGTCTGGGTCCCCAGAGACTCGCCCGGAACTGGAGCTCAGAACCTGAGACTCCCTCCTGATTGAAAACAACAACTGCACCCTCAGCCGCCAGCCCGCTCAGTGTGTGCCTCTGTACCTTAGTATTTTACTTCCACACTGCGCCTCCTCTGAGTCTCGGTATGCTTTTCTCTTTCCTTCTAGTTGTAGAATTTCCACTCAGCCAGCCTTTCTGTGGTTCTGAATGATGTCCATTCCGTGTTTTAGTTGTATTTTTGAAGTGGTTGTTCGGGGCAGCAAACTCCGGTGTTTACCTATGCCGCCATCCTCCAAGTGGCTGTACCATTTTTCATTCCAACCAACAATGTATGAGAGCTACAGTGACTTCACGCTAACACACTAGTATTGTCAGTTCTTTTAACTTTAGCCATTTTAAAGGATGTGTAGTGTGTCTCATTAGGGTTTTAAAACCCATTTGTTTCTGATTACTAGTAAAGATAAACTTTTTAAATGTGCTTTCTGGCCATTCATATATCTTTGTGAATGTATATTCTAGTGTTTTGCCAATTTTAAAAACAAATTGTTTGTCTTTTTATTATTGAGTTTCAAGGATTCTATATATCTTGCAGTCTGTGGCATTCCCTTTGTTTTTGTGTATGTGTGTGTGTGTTTTTAAAAAAACATAGTTTTATTGATTTCAGAGGGGAAGGGAGAAGGAGAGGGAGAGAGATGTAGAAATATCAATGATGAGAGTGAATCATTGATTGGCTGCCTCCTGCACACCCCCTATTGTGGAGTGAGCCTATAACCCAGGCATGTGCCCTAACTGGGAATCAAGCCATGACCTGCTGGTTCATAGGTCCACGCTCAACCACTTAGCCACACTGGCCAGCCTGATTTGTTTTTCAAAGGGCATTAGTTTTTAATTTTGATAACGTCTATTTTACCATTTTCTCTTATTTTAATAGTTTTAACACTTATATTGTGTGTTTTTCTTAGTTATGGAAATTATAGCATTGATATGAGTGACAGCAGAGTCTTTTCTTATAATGATTTATAAGAAAATGAGGATACAGGTTTGAGAGATATAGATCAGGATAAAGTTGATGTTTTCAAGCTAGAGAATGGAAAAACAATTATAAAAGAATGGATTAGAGAGAGGACATGAAAAGGGCTCTTTATAGGAGAAGAGCTTGGATAACAGGCATAATCAGAGAAAAAAAAAGTAAAAACTGAAATTGATAGCAATGACAGCTTCTGTATCCAGAAATGATAGTATCAATAATCAGAACACTACAGTATGATAGAGAAGCAAAAATGGCTGTTTTCTGGCCTATTTTCTTTTTTTGTATTAAATACATGTGTACTTTGCTTTTTAGCCCAAATGAAATTCTATTGCAACTAGATATAAAGAACACTGTCTGTAGTTATTTTACAGTTATAGATTGGTTTAAGTTAAAAGGTTTAAGTCAGCTCTAGCTGGGTAGCTCAGTTGGTTGGAGTGTCATCCTTGTGTGGGGTTCATCCCCGGTTGGGGCACATACAAGAATCAATCAATGATGCATAAGTGGGTGGAGCAATGAGTTGATGTTTCTCTCTCTCTCTCTAAAAACCAATAAATAAAATTTTTTAAAAAGGCTCAAATTTTCAAGGCCATCTCTATAGGTATAATGAATAGTGGCTTTTAAATTTTTAAAGGTCAAATAAGATTATAGCTATTTTTGCTCCATCCTTCCTCAACCATAGTTCCTAAACTACAGAGTTAATCACACTAATTTAACTGTGTTCACTGGTGTTTATTTCCATATTTTCTATGACTGTTTTACCTAATTTTTATTTAATTAAGCTTAAATTTTACCAACATGTTAATATGAAAGATGTGGTTCATAAAATTTCCTGCACTTATTTTTCTTCACATTTTCTCTGGAGCTCCTTTAGTAGATGTTAAAACTCTTGAGTTCCTCCACAAGTAAGTACACTAATTTTCCAATCATTATTCCTGTTCTTTGTTCATTTCTCACCTCCTTCCTGCTATTCTTCCTTTCCTTTCTTTTAAAATATATATTTTATTGATTTCAGAGAGGAAGGGAAAGGGGGAGAGAGATAGGAACATTGATCAGCTGCCTCCTGCACACCCCCTACTGGGGATGTGTCCGCAACCAAGGTACATGCCCTTGACCGGAATCGAACCTGGGACCCTTCAGTCCAAAGGCCGACACTCTATCTACTGAGCCAAACCGGTTAGGGCTCAATAGCTCTTTTTATAATCATTTTATTTAAGCTTCACTTTTCACTCTCATCCATAAAGCCTTTCTGTTGACAGTTGTATTACAAATTACCTTGCTTTTAGGTGTCATCCTCATTTGCTGGCTTTTCACTTAAGCCACTGAGTTCTGTAGTTAATTTACATTCCTTTGTTTTTTTCCTTTCAAAATTTCCTAAAACTTTTCATCTCCTGATGTCTCCTCAACCTTTTAGTTTTTATGAGTATGTGCTCCCTTTCACCCCCTTACTATCATTTTAATGGAGTAGAAGGAAGATGTGGAAATAAATGCAGTCATGCACCACTTAATGATGGGCATACATTCTGAGAAATGCTTCAGGCGATTTCATCACTGTGCAAACATCATAGAGTATATTTACACAAACCTACATGGTAAGGCCTATTATACACCTAGGTTATATATATATATATACATACTGTGGGACCACTGTCATATATGCGGTCCATCGTTGACCAAAATGTCATTATACAGTGCATAGCTGTATCTTATTTAACCATACATCCTTTTAAATAATACTTCTATTTCATTTTATTATCTTTTCACCCTAGGCTCTCTCAATTTTATATTTGTCCTTTCATCCTATCACCTGCCACATAAAGGTATTTCTCTTATTTTACTAATTTATGAAGAGTGCACGGTTACATTTAAAAGCAGTTTAAACTACATGCATCCATGACTGTCTTTGTATTTGAGCTTTCTTTTATATGTAGGGTAGGTTTGAAATAAAGTTTATTTATAATAGCATATTTTTAAATTTTAGTAAAGTGGAGAAATTCACAAGTGTTACTGATGTTGATGGTGACAATAGCTGCTTTATTGGATGTAAACTACATGCCAGACACTAAATATTTTATAGTTATTAACTCTTCAATGGTGATTTTTTTTTATATCCCCTTTTAGAAGAGCCCTGGGAAATTCATAAATAAGGACACATCATGAAAGACTTGTGAGTTAAGTCTCATCCTTCTCCGTGAAAATACAGTTAAGGAAGAACTCAGAAAACATAGGAAACAGAAAAATATTTCCTCTGGTCACAGACATTGATTCTTAAGATATGCCTGTTTTGCCTAACCTCAGGATAATCAATGGGAAAAGATTTCCATCATAAATTCAACTTCCTTAGATATCTGAGAATTGATATTGGAGAGAAACCATATGAATTTAGTGAATGTGGAAAAGCTTTCATCTATGTGACACGTCAAGAAATACTAAAGAAGTCTTATTGGAGAAAATACCTGTATGATTACAATGTTGAAAAGCCTTCAGACTGAATCAGATCTCCTTCAGTATGATCAAATTAACATCAGAGAGAAACCTTGTGAGTGTAATGAATGTGGAAAAACCTTTAGCCTGGAGCAAAACCTCATAGAGCATAAGAAAATGCACCCAAGAGAGAAATCGCATGAATGTCATGAATGTGGTAAAGTATTCTCTCAAGTCTCATCCCTTACTCTACATTTGAGAAGTCATACAAGAAAGAAACTATATAAATGCAGTAAATGTGAAAAGGCCTTTAGCCAGAAGGGAAACTTCCTTTCTCATCAGAAACATCATACTGAAGAGAAACCTTATGAAAATGGGGGAGCTTCTATTCAGATGCCAGGTCTTATTAAGCACCAGAGAAATCATTCTCAAAACAAATCGTATGCATGTAAGGAGTGCGGGAAAGCCTTCAATGGCAAATCATATCTCACTGAGCATGAGAAAATTCATACGGGGGAGAAACCATTTATATGTGATCAATGTGGAAGGACCTTTAGCCAGAAACAATACCTCATTAAACATCAGAATATTCATAGTGGAAAGAAACCCTTCAAATGTAATGAGTGTGGAAAAGCCTTTAACCAAAAGGAAAACCTCATTATTCATCAAAGAATACATACTGGAGAGAAACCTTATGAATGTAAAGGGTGTGGGAAAGCTTTCATTCAGAAATCAAGCCTCATTAGACACCAGAGAAGTCATACAGGAGAGAAACCCTATGTATGTAAGGAATGTGGGAAAGCCTTCAGTGGTAAATCAAATCTCACTGAGCATGAGAAAATTCATATTGGAGAGAAACCCTATAAATGTAATGAATGTGGAACAATCTTTAGGCAGAAGCAATACCTCATTAAACATCACAATATCCATACAGGAGAGAAACCCTATGAATGTAATAAATGTGGAAAAGCCTTTTCTCGAATTACATCACTTATTGTACATGTGAGAATCCACACAGGCGATAAACCTTATGAATGTAAAGTATGTGGGAAAGCCTTCTGTCAAAGCTCGTCTCTTACTGTGCATATGAGAAGCCATACAGGTGAGAAGCCCTATGGTTGTAATGAATGTGGAAAAGCTTTCTCTCAGTTCTCAACTCTTGCTCTACATATGAGAATCCATACTGGAGAAAAGCCTTATCAGTGTAGTGAATGTGGGAAAGCTTTTAGCCAGAAGTCACACCATATTAGACACCAGAGAATTCATACTCATTAAAGTTCTATGAATGCCTTGAACTTAGAAAACCTTCAACAGAATTCATATTTGTAGTATATCAGAAAATCCATCTTACAATAAAGTGACATGAACATGGAAAATCCTTCAATACTCTAACTTAAAATACTGAGATTGTAAATAAAAAGTATAGTGTTAAGAAAACTTATACCTTCAGAGCCAACACAATAAACATTGTTAATGATGTACTACTTCTTAGGAGCATTCTCATTGAAGTAAAAATCCAGTCATGGACACCAATCAGCGTGGTTCTGGAAGGCGTACCTGATGCATTAAGACAAAAGATTTATAATTAAGAGAAAAAACTGTCATGTTATATGTTTTGCTATATGGGTAATCATCAATTATTTGCTCTTTTCCAGTCATTAAGAAATAGATTATGACAGAATATTGTATCCTGAAATATATGCATGTCTTTATGAGGAATTGGTAATTGACAGATGTGTATCACAGGTTGGCAGGGAAATCATGCGTGAGTCAAAAGTGGACTCAGAGTAATTGACTCTTCATATGGAAAAGTATTGAGGTATTTGCTGCCATACATTAAAATATTTACGTATTATGAAATCCAATAATATTGAAGACTAGAATGCAAAAGGTGAAACAGTAATATAAGAGCTTTATAGGAGAATGTTTTTAAAACCTTGGAGTAGGAAAGAATTTCTAAAATTTATTCCAGAATACTCACTCTTGAGTATATGTACATATACCCAAGAAACATAGTATGTACCCAGGGATTCGTGTACCTCAATATTCATTGGATCATAAATTATATTAGCAAAATATTGGAAACAAATGTCTGCCTCTTGTGAAATGGTTGAATAAAATGATAGTCACACAGTAGAGTATTTTCTAGTAGTTAAGTACAAGTTAAATATATTTAACAAGGAAACATCTGAAAAAGTATATAGTGAAGAATAAAATATCCGTGTAAATTTGAATTAAGTCACTACTAACCAACACCAGTATTAAGCATTGGTTATGGATGGACATTTTGATTTAAAGCTTTGAAGAATGGATTGCAAGGATACACATTCAGTTCCCAAAAGTGGTTGCCCCCAGAAAGAAAGGTAGTAGAAGGGAAGTGGGATCAAGCATGGTAGTTAAAGAGTACTTCAGTTTTGTATCTAAACATCTATCCTTAAAAAGAAGTAAAAATTCCATGTAACCATAACAAAATGTTAGTCAATTCTGGGTTGTGGCAATATATGTGTTTATTTTTTTGTGCTATTTCTTTTAAACTTCTGAAAATTAAAAAAGATAGAGATAAGAGTAGGGAACCTGTACATGAAGTACATGTTAAAATAGATTCACATTCCCAATCAGATGCCAATTTTGTATTAAAAATACTTCTGAAATTATATATTTAATTATAAAAAAATTTTAATTGTGATGGCAGATCCAATTATTTAAATTTACTCTCACATGTCACATTACTGTGTGTGGTTTCTGTTAAGTTACAGCATGATTTTGCAACAGATTGGTTGAATCACATACATGTAAAGATTATATTTAATAATACATGCACAGACCTGGTAGAGAGAAAAAAAATCATTTTCACTGAAACATTTATCAGAAAATTTAATACCCCATATAATCAGTATTGGCAATGGAAAATAGACCATTTTAAAATGAGGAAGCCTTGTTGCTCTTAGATATTTTAATATGCCACTGAGTAAAACATCCACTCTTATGATTTAGTCTCAATTTTAACCTCACACTAATATTTTTCTCTATTCTGCCAGACATAATCAATTCCCATTTGTTTGTTTCCTTAGGGAAAAGGGTGCTGAAAGATAGATAGACCTAAATAGTACTTGATTTTCAGCAAATCTTTTTATAGGATTTTTGAAAGGGATGCATGATCCCTTTTCACAGCAATTTGACAGGTAGAAATCTGTTAATGCTGTTTGTTAATAGTGATAAAAATGAGAATGTAACATTTAAACCTTAGGTTAATTTCACATATATCACTTTTAAACTCAAAATAATAAAATGCTAATATAACTAGAGAACTGCATTTTTTGTTATTAGCATCTTTGAAGGTTAGTCTTGAGGTAAGATTATAAATACCAGTGGTTCATTTTCTGAGGTAATCTACCCAAATAATACGCATTTATATATTTACATGAACCTAAGTTCTCTTCTATTTCAATCTTCACTAAACATTCTCTCATATTCCTTAAGTGTTCTGCCCTGGTGCCTGTGCACCTTTGAAGTCACCAAAAGAACTCAAGTCAGGTCAAATTAGCTGCCTATAAGTGGCCAGTGCCAAGACCCAGCAACAAGAATAATTATAGGTTTAGCTCAGTGGTTAGAGTGTCAACTCACAGACCGAAGGGTCATGGGTTCGATTCCTGGTCAAGGGCACATACCTTGGTTGTAGGTTTGATCCCAGCTCCAGTCAGGGCACATGTGGGAGGCAACCAATCGTGTGTCTCTCACATTAATGTTTCTCTCCCCCTTTCTTCTTTCTCTCCACTCTGTCTAAAACCAATGGAAAAAATATCATTGGATAAGGTTTAAAAAACAAAAGGATTATAATGGTCAGGTAAAGTAAGATGAGTAATTGCTGCACAGTTTCTGTGATACTGTATACTGTAAATTTATTCAGCCATCTCTTTATTGGTTCATCTTGTTGTTAGTTATTGTCACCACAAACTAGAGTAAAAACCCTTACATTTAGGTATTTTCATTATTGGAGAGTAGATTATAGGCAAGAGGTTGCTAGACATATTAAAGGATATATGCTATTTAAAAATTGTAATAGATACTGTCAGTCAATTTTAAAAAGACAAGAAATGCTGTACATATGAATGGAATACTACTTAGCCATAAGAAAAGATGAAATACTGCCTTTGTGACAACATGGATGGATCTTGAGAATATCTGCTAAGCAAAAGTCAGACAGAAAAAGTCAGAATCATGATTTCACTCATGTAGGATATAAAACTAAAAGTAACAAATGAACAAATAAGACAGTATGGTGGTTACTGGAGGGAAGGGTTATGAGGGGTAGTAAAGAGGGTCAAATATATGGTAACTGAAGATATGACAGGGCAGTGGGCATACAATGCAATATATATAGGTCATGTATCAAAGAATTGTATACTTGAAATCTATATAATTTCATTAACCAATGTCACCCCAATAAATTTAACTTAAAAATAGATAAAAAGCCAAAACAACAACAACAAAAAATGTAGCCCTGCAATAGATGGTGTTAACCTGCTCAAATTCATGCTGGTCTGATGAGTATAAACCTCTCCTGCTCCTAAATTTGCTTCTTTGTAAATTTTGATGTTGTTAACCTATTTTCCTAAAGGATTATGTATTTTTTTTTTCAATTTTGAAACCTCTTCATATATTAGCTATTAGGAATTTGTCTAATTTTTGTTATAAAAAAAGTGACTTTTTCTATTAAAATATTTTTAAATTTCGATGTAACTGAATATGTACTAATTTTTTCTAAGCTTATGAATTAGGAAGATACTTTGGGGGGACTGGGAGTGGAAGAGGGCATAGAGGGAATAAATAGTGAAATAAAATAAAATGTAATAAAATACATATTTTTAATCTCTAGATTGCATATACTATTTCTTAGTTTGCCTTGCAATTTGGTTATCTCAATATGTAAATATGTAATGCATGTAGAATTTAATATCATATACAGTGAGGTTCATTGTTATTTTCTTCCAGATGGGTTTCCATTGTACAGGCAAAATTCAGTAAAATAGTTTAATATGTTCAACAGCCAATCACACAGCACTGAAACTAGTACAATCACAGATTCAATCTGGCAGTTAAATAAACTGAATAGGCTATAACCCTGAATTAGTTTTAATGGCAGCTTTATCCTGATGAGAAAACACCTTCACAATATGTTTATTAGACAGTCCTACAACTGCCCAAGCAAGCACAGCTTTCAGGACCTGAGCCCTGGGAAACATCAACATTCTCATCCAGGGCATTTTACAATGATCCACCAGTACATATGCATGGTGTGCCACCATCACATGGGGCACACTCAGTTGGAAGACTGATATCTACTTAAGCATAGGGAAGCCACTCCACTGCCTTGGTTTCCTCAAAACTTGTAATGCTTTAGTCACATAGGCTGTCAATGTCTACGTGGCAATTCACAGAACTCCCGATCCAGGTAAAGGCTACAGATGAGGGTTTTACAGTGTTACTTTCTTTAAGGATGCTGTGGTAGAAAGGTAAATCTAATGTCATCTTTCCAGAAACGGATCAGTGGGAAAGACCTGTGCTTAATCCTATACTGATACCATCCTTTTTCTATTCAACTAAAACTTTGCTATGTAATCATTTACACATATGATCTTTCCCTCACTCAACTGAAACTATCTTATATTTTCATTTACTAGTATACCAAGACATTTCTATATTTTGTTTCACTAATCTATTTTTCTGTTCCTATACTAATACCACAGCTTCCAGGATCTCAGCTAATTAGTTTAACATTAGCTATACTGTGTTTCTTTTCTTTTTTTAAAAAATATATTTTATTGATTTTTTTTACAGAGAGGAAGAGATAGGGATAGAGAGCCAGAAACATCGATGAGAGAGAAACATTGATCAGCTGCCTCCTGCACACCCCCTACTGGGGATGTGCCCGCAACCAAGGTACATGCCCTTGGCTGGAATCGAACCTGGAACCCTTTAGTCCACAGGCCAATGCTCTATCCACTGAGCCAAACCAGTTAGGGCCACACTGTGTTTCAATACAGCAGAATAAGAGTTAAGTCCCTCTTGCTGTTTTCACACTGTTAATGCCTACTCAAAGTTAATTTTATTTCTACATAAATGAAGATAGTTTTCTCAAATGAGAAAAATCTTTTGGTATTCTAATTGGTATTGCATTAAATTTATACATTTATTTGGGGAGAAGTGACATGATATTGCCTTTCTGCCCCCAAACAGTATGCCTTAGCATTTATTAAAATTGTGATACATGTCCTTCATCAGAAGGATTCTGAACAAAGTAATGTGCAGCCCACCTCTGCTTAATACCATTATATTCAAGAAAGGTTTAATATTTGGGTGAATAAGGAAAATCCCTGTATGGACTGACTGTTTCCATCTACAAGAGTTCATATGTTGAAGCCCTAATTGCTAATGTGATGGTATTTGGAGGTGAGGCTTTAGGAAGGTAATTTGGTTTAGATTATGTCATGAGGGTAGGACACTCATGATGGGAATAGTAATCTTATAAGAGAGAGAAAGAGATATCTCCATGTGAACATAAATGAGAAGGTAGCTGTCTACAAGCCAGGAAGTAGATCTTTATCAGAAACCAAATCTGTCAGCACTTTGATTTTGGAACTTTGCAGCTTCCAGAACTGTGAGAAATAAATGTCCATTGTTTAGGCCACCTAGTCTGTTATAGGAGCCCAAGGTAAGACAATCATGTCCTGCTTAATTCTATGCCAGTCAGTTAGAAATAAGGTTATATGCTCCTAATATATGGTAAGACAAAGACATTTTATCTTTAGGAGAGTGTAATCCTAACTTTATTAACAAGCTCTATAGTTTTGGGGAATTTATAATACTTCTGTAAATTCCAATTTCTTTGTTTTAAAATAAGAATAATTGAAACAGGAAATATGTGACAAATTCCTGGAGCAATATCACCAAAATGTTAAATGAAAAAGTTCCAGTTTATTGTTTCCCCACGAACTGAATAAAACACAAGTTTTCTGAACTAACTTTGTAATACCCCTGGAAAGGTTTATAGGAACAATCAAATGCCTAATAAAGAAAAAGCTGCCCTAACCGGTTTGGCTCAGTGGATAGAGCGTCAGCCTGCGGACTCAAGGGTCCCAGGTTCGATTCTGGTCAAGGGCATGTACCTTGATTGTGGGCATATACCCAGTGGGAGGTGTGCAAGAGGCAGCTGATCGATGTTTCTAACTCCCTATCCCTCTCTCTTCCTCTCTGTAAAAAAATCAATAAAATATATTTTTTTAAAAGAATTTGAATGACAGCCTCAAAGTGATGAAAAATAATTGTCAACTTATCTACCTATATTCAGTAAAATGACCTCTCACAGACCCACATTTAAAGGAAAAAGAAGACCTAGAATGAAATAGGGGAATGCACAAAACAATTGGTATAAGTGTGAATAACCTAAAGAAGATTTTATATTAAGTAATAACTCTAAAAAAGACTATTCGAACAGCATAGCAATAAACTGGAACAAAAATACAAGTTGAGAA